TAATGGCTTTAATTTCTGATCATGTTTCATAGTAGCATGATTGTAACTAGTGTTGGGTGGGGGGATTGTGGAATTTTTAAATGGGAAAAATATTTGCAGTTAGGGAATCTGAAATTTTTCAGGAAATGGAGGATGGTGATAGTTTCACCATAGTGTGAGTGTAATTGGTGCAAGTGAGCTCTTCACTACATAATGGTGAACACTGTAAATTTTCAAGAGTTAAATTTTGTCATAATAAAGATGGAAATAAAAAGTCAGTGGATGTTGACAGTAACAAATAAGAGAAATTAATAGCACACCTGTGCATCCTCTTGAATAGACAGAGTTCCCGAACACTTGTTGAATTTCATTTTTGCTTCTTTTTTTGCCATTTATATTACAAAGTCCATAGAGATTGGGATAACACGGACCATTTTGGCTGATTATGATCTCTGTGCTTTGAGCCCTTAATGACAGAACAGTCAGTGTTCTGTGCCTCCAAACCTTCAGTCCAGTGGGAACCATATCTTTCTGTCTTCCTCTATAATATTCTGGACTAGGAGGCTCCTATCTGAGCCAGCATTCATGTTTACTATGAGGACGGAGCTTGTGTCTTCACTGGGCACCAAGACACTGGATCTGAAGACTTTTGTTATTGCTCAGAAGAATAGCAGTAGAAACCAGTAAGTGCTGAGAGAAATTATAGAAGGAAAAGGAACTATCAGGATCATTGCTTTCCCATCATCAGGGCTATCATGCAATTTGGGTTGCTGTATGGGAGCATAGAGTTGTGCAAAAATTAAGTAATAAAGCCTCTCACTCCCTTAAGAAATCCTTTTCTCACTGTGAACTTCTCTTGGGGGTCCTTGCAGATCTCATTGTGTGGCAGCTGCTGTATCAGCTACAAGAAGAATGGCTATTTTCATATCCAGCGATCAGAGAAAGTGCAGGCACTGAAAATTCAGCACTGATCACTATTTTATCTACACCATAACATCCTAGCAGGTCTCCATATACTTTTGAAATTTTGAATCAGCTCACTCAATCACAAAAGGAGACAAATTCAAGCCTTGCTTTCCTTCATACTCTGGAATTTGGAATGTATTTTTAAAAAAGGCTAAAGATGTAGGGAAAGTGGGAAGGGTAGGGGAAGGGGAATAAGGGAAAAGAAAAAAAAGTGAGAAAATGGAAATAAAGTGTTTGTAAATGGGGAGGGGAGGAGCAGGTGAAGGGAGGGCAGGGACAAGGGGAAGAATGAGAACCAAGACCTGTCATGTAAAGGTACAAGATACCAGTATTGAATGTAACTGTACTGTATACCTAGAATGTACTGATAAACTCAATTATAAAAAAGAGTGTTTCTGCAGTTAAGACTCTGTCCCTCTGCTTTGTAGAATATTTTACCCACAGTCTGAAAATTTAATTGATGTCTTTTGGGTCCAGGTGTTATCTCCTTAACATAGGGAGGGTTGATAGGATTACTAAACCCATTCATTATTACATCTGAGTGGAATTCCAGTTCCTACAACTGCACTGAGTATAAATGAAAGGTAATGAATATTCTCTATGAGATTAACATAGGATGAGTATAAAATCTGAGGAAATAGAAGCTAGTTAATCACAATAATAAGAATTATCTTCACATCAGTCAACTAAAGGATTTTGTGATTTGAGATCATTGTTTTACTGTTTTGAACATTACAGTTTAATTTTTCCTTATATTTAGTACATGCAATATATTTTGAAAAAGATCAATGTCTCTCATAACCAATTCCCAGAGTCTACATTTGGCAGAGAAGAGACATAATAATGAATAAACATTAAAATAATAATGCATGTTAAACCATGAATATACCTTTCCTTTATTCACAGATACTGGCTATAACCAATGTAGCTTCAATACACTTAATAGTTTTCTCTTTGCAAGTTCATCATTGTCAGAGAATTCCCATAGCATTAAATGCAAGATAAAATAACACTTGTTTGTGTATATAACGTGGACCTATGGGCCCTACAATTCCACTTAACTGCAATGATAGCATTCATACATTCATTCTGGTCCAAGGATGTGGCTCAGTGATTCTGCTGCATGGCTTGCAAATACAAGAGCCCAAATTAAATGCCTCATACCACAATAAATAAATAAATAAACATTCGCTTATTCAACGACCATGGAAGAGATGTTCATGAGAATACAAAAAACAAAAGAGACACAAAGAGAAGTAGGGAGGCAAGGCTAGTGCTGGAGATGAGACTTCTTAGACACATTTTAATATTTCACATTATTCCAAGGCTCCAGAGCCTCGTAATGAGAGTATCATTATATTAATGGTTGAATTTTTTAAAAAACCTAATAATTACAAAATATTTATTAGTTTCTAAATCTAGACTGCTTGCCAAACATATGGTGTGGATGGCTTTTGTTCTCCCTATATCCATGAAACACATGGAGCTCAGGGAATTAGAGTGATTTATGCATTTTCAGCATATTGTAGGAAGTCAATGATATGGGACAAAAATGTCCTTTGTTTGTTTGTTTGCTTGTTGTTGTTTTTACACCCATCCCAGGACATTTTCACATTTTCTCTTCTACTAGAGCCAAGTAGAAAAATTACCCCCTATACCAGTTGAAATTACTTTTCTTTTTTGTCTTTTTTGGGGGAGGTTCGAGACATGGTCTTATTGTAGGATAGAGGATGGCATTGCATTTGAGATCCTCCTACCTCAGCCTCTTAAGTGCAGAGATTACAGATGTACATGAGTAAGAGGAAGTATTAAATAATGACTGAATTTTATTGGGATAACAAATATAAATGATTAATAGTATATTTTTATGTCTATCAATTGTTGGAAAATCTCATATGGAAATTCACTTGTGCAGTATGGAGAAGGCAGAAGAATTTTAAAGGATTGTTGCAATAAGTAGCTGATGTCCCTCCCTCAGGTAATGCTGTGCATCTGAATCATTCAAAGGAGATGTATCTACTTCACAGAGAGAAGTACAATCCACGTGCTGATGTAGCTAGTATATCTCATGGGTAATAGGTGATTCATTGTATTCCATTTAGATGATTTTAGATATTCTTTAGGTAAATAATTAAGAAAGCTCTTTATGGGTTTATAAAGTTGGACTGGCATGGAAACCTTGAGAAGAAAATGAGATTCATGACAGCAATTGTCTCCGGAGAAAAAGTGTGCAGGAGAAGAGGATAATGCAAAAATAACAAATACTTGAATTATGTAGGTGATAGATTCTATCTGATTAAAGTAGAAGTTTTCCTGCAGATGGCATTAGATTATATTTTAAAATTAGTAACCAATTTCATTAATTAATAAAATAATAATATTAAGTCGTATTAATGAATAATTTTCTAAATTTTAGGAAATATCAGAAGGAGTGATATATGCACTTAACAGATATGTTGATTCAACTGGTTTAATTTAATCAGAATATTTAGATATTTTTAAAGTCTCCAGTTTGTTACCTTGATGTATGAAACTGAAAAGTAGTAGTCTATGCATGTAACTATTTCTGTTGTTGTTTGCTTTTTTTTTTCCTTTTGTAGTGATGTGAATCAATTCTGTGGTCTTCTACATGGCAGATAAATGCCTCAGCACTGGAAGTTTTAAAAAAGTTTCTTTAAAACATCTGTATAAGCAGACAGTTATTGTTGCTGTATTATAATAGACAAAACTGTCAAATATGTTAGTTATTTCCTGTACTTTCCTTCTTGGTATTGCTTTCAAAATATAGTGTGAGCTGACAAAATCATCAACTTGAGTTTTCTTCAGGTAGCTGAAGTAAGGAGCCTTGTGATCCATGTTTCAGGAAAGATTTACTTGACAGCCTATGAACCAGGGATAGGAGGAAGGTCAGGTTTCAAACCTGGGCATTGGAACTGACCATGGTGCTAAAGTCCTTCACTTTCAGGGAGATAATTTTTGATTAGAAAAAAATCAAAGAGCATATGCAGGTTGCTTAAGAATGTAGTTTCAAAAAAGAAAAAAATATATGTCTATATTCACACACAAAGCTTACCAATATATTGGCTTGACAAATATAAACCTGTGGAGGAAAAATACAAAGTGTTTCTTAACATTTATTTACATTTGGGGGGAAGGAATGAGGATTGAACCCAATGTTACATGCCTAGTTCTGCTTCATTTGTTTGTTTGAGAAAGGGTTTTGCTAAATCACTGTTTCCCACATTGAGTTCAAACTTTCAATCCTCCTGCCTCAGCTTCCCAGACTACTGGAATTGCAGGCATGTGTCCCCACAACTAGCTATGTTTCATTATGTTTAAATCATTGAGCTCTGCAGTGTACACCATTGCCACATATGTGGTTAGTGATATGATTATGCGCATTCAAGAAGACAAAGTTTATGATGTTTTCACAAAGTTCAAGGATATAAAATTACATATGAAATATGTTTTAAAAGAAAAATTTAATTTGAGCAAACATTTACTTGTATGAAAGAGAGAAAACTGGAATCCAAGAATGATAAAATATATCTGAGCCATAATAGGCACATACCTATATTTATCAATGAACTATCACATTAGTGTTCAGATGACACAGTCTGAACTTTTGTGGACTTGTTATAAATATCATAAGTAGATAAATATTATACGTTGGTTATAGATAAATATGTTTGCTTCTTAATTGCCAGTGAAATATTTTTCTGAAAGGGTACAGGTTATTGTTCACTCTTTATTATTAACTAAGAGAGGAGGTTATATTTTGCTATGCTCAAAGACTTCTTAGTTGCTTATATTTTTGGCTATAACATTTTTGAGTGTCTGTGAAGTAGGTGGGTTTGGAAGGACATTAAAAACACAAAGAAGAATAATGAAAAAGTTCCAGAGGGAATTGCTTTCATCACAATTAAGAAATATTGTTGAAGGTGTATGGACTCCAAGTTCAAATAATTTGTTTGAATACATGAACTCAAACCACATACAAAATATAGTGTATTTATTAATGTGCTTCTTTTCTTCCAACTTTTTTTTACTTCCAAAGGTGTTCAAGGAATATAGAAGCAGAAAATCTAACACAGGTCTTCGAGTTCCATTTCTTGGGCTTCTCAGAGAATTCAGACCTACATCCCATCTTCTTTGGACTGTTCCTGTCCATGTACCTGGTCACCATCCTTGGGAACCTGCTCATCATCCTGGCCGTCATCTCTGACTACCAACTCCACACCCCCATGTACATTTTCCTCTCCAACCTGTCCTTGGCTGACATCTGTTTCACCTCCACTACCATCCCAAAGATGATTGTGGACATCCTGAGCCACAGCAGGGTCATCTCCTATGTGGGCTGCCTCACACAGATGTCTGTTTATGTTCTTTTTGGAAGTATGGATGACATGCTTCTGACTGTGATGGCCTATGACCGGTATGTGGCCATCTGTCACCCCCTGCAGTATCCAGTCCTTATGAATCCTCGACACTGTGGTTTCTTAGTTGTGCTGTCTTTTTTGTTTAGCCTCTTGGACTCTCAACTCCACAATTTGATTGTCTTACAATTTACCTACTTCAAGGGTGTGCTCATTTCCAATTTCTTCTGTAACCCTGCCCAAATCCTTAATCTTGGCTGTTCTGACAACTTCTCAGGTAACATTTTAAAGTATATAGCTGGTGTGTTATTTGGATTTTTTCCTATATCAGGGATATTTTTATCTTACTATAAAATTATTTCTTCCATTCTGAGAATCTCATCACCAGGAGGGAAGTTTAAAGCCTTCTCCACCTGTGGGTCTCATCTCTCAGTTGTTTGTTTATTTTATGGAACAAGTATTGGTGTGTACTTTGGTTCATCTGTATCACAATCTCCGAAAAATTGTTTGGTGGCCTCGGTCATTTACACATTGGTCACTCCAATGCTAAATCCATTCATCTACAGCCTGAGGAATAGGGACATCAAAAGTAGTTTGAGCAGGCTCCATGGTAGAAAATTATAATATTAGGACCTGTGGTATCTAGTAAAATATAAAGTAAAAAAGACAGCAAAATTAAACACTTATACCTATACATTCTGCTTCTGTGATCATATTTTATTAGATAGTTTTAAATTTTCATCTCATATTTATCATAGTAAAATAGTGGTAGTCAATGTATGAGTGCAGGAAGTATGGGACTATTAAGGAGTACAAAATTTTAGTTTGTGAAGAACAACTTCTGTAAGCAGATTTAGGTTATGCAGGTACTTATAGTGTGAGTATAATTAACGTCACTGAGGTCTGCACTTAAAAACAGTGAATACTGTCAATTTTTAATTAAAAAGTTTACAATAGCAGAAGTGAAAACAAAAACCCCAGATAGATCTTGAAAATGAATGAACATATAACTAAACTTCCTTTTTATTGTAGGAAGTACTCCCCCAAATTTAGTGGAGATTTATTTTTCTTTCTTCTCCCATAAATATTAGAGAGTCCTTAGAGCTTTTGATGGGCAAATTTGATTAATTAAAAGCTTTACATATTTATTCTACCAGATCATATAATAGTTAATATTTAGTTCATGTCTCCAGAAGATGTTTGAGGGCTCCAGTCTGCAGGCACCATATCTATGTCTCGTCCTCCTATGGTTGTCTGTGTTGGCAAGTTTCTGTAAGAGACTGTGTGCAACTCTATTCTGGGGACAGAGCATGGATTTTCATTGGGAAATAGTTACAGAAAGGACACTGGATTTTCTATCATGTCGTGACCCTGCAGAGAAGTAGCACAAAGCACTAAATGGTGAAAGACATGCAGATTGGAGGAAGGAATATCAAGAGCAATGAGTGTTCATCATCAGGACAATATTACATTTCTGGATAGCCAAATGGGAGATCATCTCCATACCAAATTTTAGCAATGAAGGCACAGAATTTATGTGTATGGTTGTGGGGTTTTCTAGAAATCTCATTCAAGGTTTAGATTTCTTCACACATTGGTTCTTCTTTTCAAAGACATCACATGCAGAAAATAATAAAATGAATTTCTCTGAACTATTTCCTGAAAACTTCAAAAGGATTATAAAGGAAATGTTGAGGATGAGGCTGTGAATGACAATAATAATAACCCCATCGATCATAATTGATGTACTTCTGAGTGCCGAGTGTCCTATGTAGATTGTTTCAATTCATCTACACAGGCCTCCCCAGGTGATGAATGCCACATTATTTTGCTTTATGGAAAAGAAATGAGAAAGAAATTTTTTATCTAACATGTACTGATGTATAGCTTGGCACACTGAAGCCACGTTTGAATTGAGCTGTCTGATTACACACAGGGTACCTGAGGAGGAGAATCATCGCAGTTTTTCCCCTTGACAACTCAATCACCCTGTCATTCTAAGAGACACACTTTGCTCACTGTGTGTTCCTCTTCTGGGCTCCCAATAGCTCATAGTATAAAGCTACACATGGAACCTGGTGTGTCAACCATAGGAAGAATGGTTGAGGTCACGAGCATGGAACACAGAAAGTGAAAGCCCATGAGAACAGCACAGACCTCGATGTTTTCCTGCTTTGCATTATCCTTTCAGCTGACCATGCAGCATTAAAACCATCCCACCCAAATGGAAAAGGAGACTTAAAGTCAGGTCTTGATTTCTTCCTATTCAGGATACTGCAAAAAGTTGAAAACTGTACCTGAAGTCAAAACCTCTGTACCTGTATTTAAATCTTTCTGATGGTTGGTAAACCATGTAAAAGATTAGTACAACTTACCTAAAGATTGTCAATTTAGTTTTTACTGCTCTCAGCTCCATTTACAAGTTATTTAACTTAAGGAAGTTTGATAGCATTTCTGGGACTCAGCATTATCATCTAAATTAGTTTCTATTTGCAATTACAGCATTGAATATCAATTAAACAGACAATAGTTTCTAGGAAGTTAATATGTGACAAAGGTATAAGTTGTGATAAGTATTTTAGATATTAATTATTAGCAAGATTAATCTCTGTGTGTTCAACCAAAATATGTTGTGACTTGAAGTTGCTGTTTTCCTACTTCTGCAATGTATTTAATTTTGCCCTTGTGTAAGTATGTGCTGTACATTTGGAGAAGTAACGGCTTTCCTGCTGATTCTCTGGAGCTTATAGTGTGTTTGTTCCAGAGAAGGCATCAAAATAAAAATCTGTTAAATATTGCATAGGTCCTTCCTTCCTTCACAAATCTTGGCCATCATTGTTACTTTAAAAAGTTGGTGTTTTCCTACCTGAAAATTTATCCTTCAGGAACATCCCATTGACTAGCTTTTGTTTCTAGGTCTTGGACACATGAGAACAATAGTACCATTAAAAGCATAATAGCTTTAAATCATTCAAAAACCATGGGAAGATTTTCAGGAGTATAAAAGAAGTGAAAGAAATACAAAGAGAGAAGATCAATAAAACTGATTGTTTGGGGTGAGATAACCTTAGAACTTCATGTAATTGTAAGATTCCAGAGCAATTTGACAGTTTTATTAGTCAAGAGAATTATTGTTTCCTAAATGACTGAATTTTTTATTTAAAAACAATTTTAATTGTGAAATATGTATTAGATTCCAGAATTGCATGTTGTCTAGTTATGAGTATTATTCTCTGTTTTTCCATCAGGCAGTATGAGTGCAGGGACATTGAGAAATTCCCACACATTTTATGTATTATAGAAGGTCAATATATAGGACTGAAATGTTCATTTCCTGATTTCCTTCTTTGAATCAAAAGAGAAAAAATAGAGAAAGGTGGAAAATGGAAACAAAATCTTTGTAAATAGGGAAGGGTGGAGGGGTGGACCGGAGACCAGGGGGATGGGCAAAAATATGAACCAAGATCTGTTATATAAAGGTACAATATCCCAATGATGAATGTAACTGTATGGTATACCTACAATTTACCAATAAAAAAGGAAATAATACTCCTAATGAAATATAAATTGTCTTGATCAGTTTTCTTGGAAGATATAATACTACATGGATCTCAATGATATGTTGGTCATACATGTTAAGCAAAAGGCAATGTACATGAGAATAATTGATTTTTCTTTGAAAAAATATAAGTGGTTTATAGTAATACTACACATACCTCCATTGTGAGAAATCACCAACAAGCCTTTATCCACTTATTATGTCATGATTTGGACTTCTGTGAAATACAGAATTTTGAAAGGATTGTGATAACAATAAACTCTAAGTTACATAATGTTCCTATTAGTTAATGATGTGTATCAGTTAAAATTTTATTTTTATTGTATTTTATTTCATTGAATTTATTGGTGCTATTTAAGTACACAGTATACATTTATCATTGGGATCATGTACCTTCGCATGATATATCCTGGTTCTCATTTTTCCCCATACCCCTGCCCTATCTTCACCCCCTCTCAGTTAAAATTTTAGAAACAGATGCATATATGTCACAGAAAGATTTAAAAGCACACCATCAATGGTTTCTTTTGCAGTGCAGAAGCTTTTTAAAATGATGAGATCCCAGTTGTTGATTCTTTTTGCTAGTTCTCAGGCTACTGAGGATTTGTTCATAAAGTCTTTTCCTACGCCAATGTCTTCAAAAGTTCTGCCTAACTTATCTTACAGCAAGTTTACTGCTTCTTTTGTTTCTCATTGAGTTTATTGGTACATTTTAGGTGTACAGTACAGTTACATTCATCTTTGGGAACTTGGACCTTTTCATGACAGGTCTTGGTTCTCATTTTTACTGTTTCTTTTTAATATTTAGATCTTTAATCCACTTGGATTTTACTTTAGTGCATGGTGAAACTAAGGGTCTAGTTTTAATCTTTGGCAGGTTGAGATCCAGTTTTACCAGCACAATTTATTAAAAAGGCTATCTTTCCTCCACTGAAGATGGTTGGCTCCTTTGGCTCCAGATGAAGTAGCTGAGTACATCTGGAGTTGTTTCTGTATCTTCCAATCTATTCCACTGATCCTTATGTTTTTTTCTTTGCCAGTACCATGCTGTTTTTATCACAGTGGCTTTCTAGTATAGTTTCATGTTGGGGATTGTTATACCCCCTGCCATGTCTCTGTTGCCTAGAATATTTTTTGGTATTCTAATGAGAACCAAAATCTGACATGTAAAGATACAAGATCCCAATGATGAATATAACTGTACAGTATTCTTAAAAAGTACCAATAAACTCAATGAAAAAAAAAACCAAGTGGTAAATTTCAAGGGCAATAGTTATTGTGTTGTATACTATTTAGTGGAGTGCATGTAATTTAGGAATAAGCTGTTTAGGAACACTTTATAGATGCATAACGCAATATAGTCATGTAAACTGACAGGAAAATCCACCCATCAAATTAAAGAGAGTCATTGTCTTTGGAGTAGAGGTGTTCAGGAAAGTGGAATGATTCATGGAAACCTAGACCTCATACTTCAAAGGTGAAAATTCACATCTTGATACATATTTGTTATGAAGCAAATATTGCTGAATATTTATATTTTGAAATTAGTAGTTTTCTTAACAGTAAGAAACAGTAAGTGGACTACTAATATACCATTATACATACCAGGGTCTACCTTAACCCTAGTTTATAAAGAACATACCAAGAATTCCTCATTTTCTGATCTGAGGCAAGGTTATTTGAACAGTTTAAAGTGCATGTTTATTTTTATCGGCTTATGAGACTGAGAACCACTAATTAAATTTAATAAATATGAAAATTTAATTCTCCCTGTAATTATATAAGCTAGACAATTATTATATCCATATCTATATATGGAATTTATACATGTGTGTTTAAAATAGTACCTGTAATTATTTTTGCTTTGTCTTACCTAACAGAGCAATGGATCCCAGTTGTCTCTGTGCAATAGAGATGGGAAAATTATAGTCCATGTATTCAGAATACTGACATGGAGATCTACTAAGATATCACATAAAGATTGGAACTGAAGCCTGGTCTTTGGAGATATTTTGATGCTAATATTCGTACATCTGAATAGGAGGGTTTCTTTCACCAACAAGTT